GGTGGCCCTTCTTCTGATGGTCCTGGGACTTTTCTCTCTGCTTACATCGAGATGGCTCATTCTTTTATGGACAAGTGGTCTTTGCACTTCAGCAGACTGTACCCCAAAGAAAACGATGATGACTTGAGTCGTATCCTCTACTAAGATGGAAACTCGGAGTCCTTCACAGAGAACTCCCTCCAAAATGGGATTGTAACCACAGGCTCAGAGGCTAGACTTTACAATGCATCACAAATATGGCTAGAAGCACCATATTAAGTAACTGACTATATCACAGCTTCCTTTTTGGTCTCCTTTGGCTGATGTTATTTTTGTCTTGCATAGCAGCTTGGAGCCTATCAGGCACTCGGTAAAATGATACCAAGTGGAATGCAGTGAACAAGTGTGCTAGAGGTAACTATGCCACTTTCTGGTTTTCTAGACTGGCAACTTACTAACCCCCTCTGAGCAATTTTGCTCTTCTGTAAAATGAGAATAGCATCCCTGATTCATAGAACTGCGGTCAGGATTTAATGAGAGCTATGTGAAGCAATAACACATGGCCTGATGCCCAGTGAGTGCTCAAACGCTGACCAGCATTATTATCACCCGAAGCAATGCCAACTACCAATTTGGGGAAGAGACTAAATAAGATACTGAATCAATACAAGTGTATAAACATATATGTATATTTATTTTCTTTAGTCTCCCTCATTATGTGACTAACTCATATATCCACTGCTGTCAAGTAGACTGACTGACTCATACAGATTGAACAAATGTTTAAACCTTATCAGCTTGATTGCCATAATAATTCACAGAGCACACAATTAAATGGTTCAAACATATTAAAAAGAGTTGTACAATCATCACAATCAATGTTAGAACATTTCCTTCATTCTGTACACATTATTATTAGCTCCCCATTTCCCCCCAAACTTCCTCTGCTATAACCCTAAGGTACTTAATCCAGTTATTGTCTCTATACATTTACCTACCCTAGAGTTAATATAAAGATAAACACACAGAACAAAAAAACCCAACAATAACAACAAAATAAAAGAGAAAAACTTAAATTGAAAAGGAAGGAAGAAATAAAACCAGAACAAGTTTCAAATGGGTCAAAGGGCGAACAAATGATAAGGTATTAAATTTTAACCAAACTATGTATGCATTAATCTAATTCCTAATGCACTGTGTCCCAAAGCAAGGCTACTCACATTCCCAGTCAATAATCAAAGGGGATTCCTCAGAGGCTAAATTCATGTGGGGGCTCTACAAATGGACTTCGGGCTTTCACTGTCATCCACAGCCTTCTGCAAACTAGGTAATCAGAATGTAATCTCTAATACAGTTCCTCGTCTGGTCCTGAATTTTATTAGTCAAAATCTTTGGGTCACATGTAATTATCCGCTATTTCTTTAATATTTCCTCCCCTTACTGTTAAGGCTATTATTCGGTTTACCTCATTAATCCTGTTAGATTTGCATATGTTCATTTGTATATTTATGATTGTTCAGTACATGAAAGTCAAGATAGATAACCCTACTGTCGAAGGGATCAAGTATCAGGCATCAAAGAACAAAAAATCATATCACTGTAAATGAGGGGGATTGTAGATTGGGGACCCAAAGCCCATCTATAGGGAACTGGACATCCCCTTACAGGAGTGTTGTGGGGAGGAGACAAGCCAGCCAGGGTGCAGTATAGCAACAATTAAACATACAGCCTTCCTCTAGTTCTTTAATGCTTCCTCCCCCC